TGAAGTCCACAAGTCATAGAAGGACCAAGTTGGAAGACCCCTGGACTTCAACTCCCAAGCCAGGCACGCTGGGTGAGGAATTCTGGGAGCTGAAGTCCACAAGTCATAAAAGGGCCAAGTTTGAAAACCTCTGGACTTCAACTCCCAGAATTCCTCAGCCAGGCACGCTGGATTTGGTGACCAGGCAAAACACAATTCCCGAACTATTGAATCATTTGGCACCGATTCGGATCAAAGTGGCTAACAACTCTCTCAACTGCCCTGCTCAGCAAGTGCTTGTGGATGCCCACCTCAAATCCTGAATACCTCACATTGGCCAGTTTTGTGCCACAGGCTGGACCAAAGTGGTCTTGGCTAAGGGGGGATCTTCGCTGTCTGATGGGACTCCAGCCATTGGCACCCCAGAACGTGGAAGTGATCTGGGGCAGACCTTTGTCCATCTGTCAACTTATTTTATAAGTTCTTGAGGCATCCAAGGTGGGCGTGAGGGACCCAACAGGTGTAGGTCTTAGGCCAGGAGTCTTCGAACTTGGCCCTTTGATGACTTGTGGACTTCAACTCCCAGAATTCCTCAGCCAGCGTGCCTAGCTAAGGAATTCTGGGAGTTGAAGTCCAGGGGTCTTCAAACTTGGCCCTTTGATGCCTTGTGGACTTCAAATCCCAGAATTCCTCAGCCAGCGTGCCTAGCTGAGGAATTCTGGGAGTTGAGGTCCACCAGTCATGAAGGGGCCATAGTTCCCCCATGCTGGCTCAGGAATTCTGGGAGTTGAGGTCCACGAGTCATGAAGGGGCCATAGTTCCCCCAATGCTGGCTCAGGAATTCTGGGAGTTGAAGTCCATGAGTCATGAGAGGGGCCATAGTTCCCCCATGCTAAGAGCCAAGTTTGAAGACTCCTGCCTTAGACATTTGGCAGCTTAAAGTTCCCTGTGATTGATAACACAGCATGGTGAGCCTCTTAATGCAAGCAGGGTCTACCTGCCTTCTAATTAATCCAGGTTGATGAAGGTAGAGTCATTTGATATGACTACACCACTTTCTTTGGGGTATCCAAAATGCTTTTCCGGCCAGCCACCAGCAGCTGTTCCTGAAAGACCACCTCAATTTCTATTCTGTGACTTCTTTTGTTATGCCTTAGCTAAATAGTTTGCTGTTATTAAAGGAAGACCATGTACTCGGCCTGTTGGTGTTTAATTTCTGATTGGTGGGGAAGCAAATCATGAAGCGAATTCAATTCTGCTCACTGCCATACAAAAAAAGATACTGAGGCCTTAGAAAGAGGGCAGAGAAGAGCAACAAGGATGCGTAGGGGGCTGGAGGCTAAAACATGCAAAGGATGGTTGCAGCAATTGGGTATGTCAAGTCTAGAGAAAAGGAGGACTGGGGGGGGCATGATGGCAATATTCCAGTATTTGAGGGGCTGCCTCATAGAAGCAGGTGGGGGGGGAGGTCAACCAATTCTCCAAAGCAGCTGAAAACAGGACAAGAAGCAACGGATGGAAACTCATCAAGGAGAGAAGCAACCTGGAATTAAGGAGAAACTTCCTAACAGTGAGTGTTGGAATACAGCATAAGTCACTCCATCTTGTAACCTTCAGTATGCTTAAACCTACACTTCTTCATTCCTACGTGTTAGGCTGCAATCTGCAGCTGCACACGCGTAAGGACAGAGAACAAAGAAGCAAGTCAAAAGCCCTGGTCTACACAAGCTATGATACTATCACTTCCTGATAAGACCTTCCAAGGTGAACCACAATGGCAACTTTTACTGTGAACTGTTAGTTGTATATGCCATGTGATAGATAAGGTACATTTTGTAAAACTTTGGCTGTCTCTAACCTCCAAAACTCCCACTGTTTGCAACTTCCGGCTCACCCCCTCACCCACCCCCCTGCTAAAGCCTTCCGCCTGCAATTTGCTTTTGATGTATGCTAATAAAGGAGAGCGAGGGAGAGAGACTTTCATTTTGACTTTGGATTTCTTCTCTCTCAACTCTCATCCGAGGCAGCTTTGTGTCTGTCTTTTTCTTTACCATGAGAGTCCGTCACAACTGGTGACCCCCGACGTGATTCCTTGCGAGGGGATACGTCCTTGGACCATCCATTCTTACCGTCTGGCATAGACTTGGTGCACCTCGTGCGTTCCTTTCGCTGGCGAACAGGAGGGTTTTTCGTAAGTATGGGTGGAGGGTTTTCTAAGGCTCAGGAAACGCATATACGCGAGCTTAGAGAATTAACCAAGACAAATTTCTTTATTTTTAACAAAAAGGGCTTTCCAACGCACTCACTTACCAAAGCTTCTATAAAAGATCTTTTAAGTTATATATGGGCAAACTGTCCATCTTATCCAGAAGCTGGTAGTGTAAAACCTGACACATGGAGAAAAATTGGCAAATATCTTCATGCTTCTCCCCGTGCCCCTTCTATGATTTTAACTTCATGGCGAGTTATAATGGAAGCTCTCTCGGCACAAGAAAAACCCCCACTTAAATCCTTAATGGAACCCCCTCCCTATGTTAACTCTGATGTGGAACTTGTCAACCCTGCTTCACCCGACGTTTTAACAGCCCCAAATGCTCCCATTTCAATTGAAACTAAGCCGTCTACTAACACAGAACCTGTTTCTCCTCAAAACCCTTATCCTTGTTTGAATGCTTCTCCTTTGAACTCAGAATCTGTTTCTCAAAACCTTTATCCTTGTTTGAATGCTCCTTTGCCTGTTATGGGTGCAGTTCAATCTTCCATATCTGAAGCTTTTAAAAAGGGAGAGTTGGATGGCACGGAGCTATCTGCCTTTCCTCTCACCTTTATTCAAGAAGCTGGTGGAGGTGTAAATCCTCACTGGGACCCTATTCTTATCAAATTAATTAAAGATATTAAGGAAGCTGTGCAGTTGTATGG